ACTTGATCTCAAGTCCTAACCACTCTCTCCTGGACCTTCACGTCTCCCAAAAAGCTGTAATCAAGAGTGACCGCCAAAGGCAATTCTCTAACCTGTAACCTTGGCCATGGGACTCCACAAACAGAATCTCTCATTGGCTGCTCATGCACTTAGGGCCAACTCCTAAATTTCTGTCTGTGTGTAGAAGGCCCTTCAGAATAGGTTCTCTTTGCCTACATAGCTTCTCTGTTTTTCAATATAGTGACTTTTTTTTTTTAGAGATAGAGTCTCACTGTATTGCCCTTGGTAGAGTGCCATTTTTTTAACTTTATTTTATTTTATTTTATTTTTTGAGACAGAGCTTCAAGCTGTTGCCCTGGGTAGAGTGCTGTGACATCACAGCTCACAACAGCCTCCAATTCCTGGGCTCAGGCTATTCTCTTGCCTCTGCCTCCTGAGTAGCTGCATAGGTGCCCGCCACAACCCAGCTATTTTTTGTTGCAGTTTGGGCGGGGCTGGGTATGAACCTGCCGCCCTTGGTATATGGGGCTGGTGCCCTACTCACTGAGCCACAGGCACTGCCCAATACGTATTAAATTTAACAGTTAATGATGCAATCATTGGTTTAGATTTTGTACTTTTGTGTTTTTGAGTGAATACATTTTTTTCAGGACCCTAATACTAAGTGCCTAGTGGATAAATTGGTCCTGTGTAATACTAATGGTTACTAACCTACTAACCTGTCAACTCTGCCCAGGAGTCAGTCACCTCTGGCCCAGAGACTTCTTAGCTGTCCTGCCAGGTAGGCTGGGCCAATGTCTCTCCTAAGTGCTTCTGCAGTGTCTGATACTTAAATCTACTATAGCACTTGTCACACTCTATTTTAGATGTTTATTGACTTAATGGCTCCCTGTCCCCAGCAATATAACAAGTTTGTTTGTGTGTGTGTGTTATTAGAAAAACCCACATAACATGAAATCTACCTTCCTAACAAACTTCTCAGTGTACAGTTACAAGGTCCTTGAAGAATGTCTCCAAGAACAAGCATGAAACACCGGTGTGAGTCTGCAAGTACAAATGCAGGTGACACTAATGAAACGAAGACAAGTATTTCTCTTTGGGTTAATATATAAGAAAAGTCAGTTAAGACTTGGAAAAGAAGAATCAACATGGGATTATTGTGGGTTAGGCATTAAGTAAATGAAACTATGTCATTTGAGGAAATAGTAGTATGAATGAAAATAAAATTGTCATCTCCCCAGCCAACTGAATGGATCCCTCTTGGCCAAGGGGACACCAGAAATACCCTCAAGCTGAGTTGCTTTGGAAAGGGACATCAGACAAGCCTAATCCTGCTCACCT